TGCAGACTCATGAAGCCTCCATCAGCCTGTTTCCAGGTATGCATAGAGTGGGGCTCGGAGCACGAGAGAACTTGGACAGCCCCAGGTCCCACATCCCCAAGTCTGAAGCTCTTCAGCTTAGTGCTGGGTTCCAGTAACAACCTCCATGCTGTCTCCCACCCTCACAGAGCCCACTCAGGCCAGGGTCAAGCCGCATCCGTCTGTGACTGGCCACCATCCCTCCTGCTCTCAGGGCTCAGCTCTCCTTAGAGAATCAGAAATCTGCTTCAGGCTGTCTAAGGGTGACAGGTGACAACGGGCACAAAGGGCTAGGAACCAGACACATGCCAAGCTAGACTGTAACAAAGGAAATGTATTCAAGCCTGAAGATGTCACTTTGGGGCCAGGCTTCTATGGGACAGATAACACTCCTACTAGAAACGTCCTCCGCCTCCTCTGCTGGGCGTTACTCCTGCACACCCTTCAAGGTGCCTGCTGAAGCTCCCCTTTCCGACAGCCCTCCTGGCCCCTCTCGGGTACCTCTGTATTCTCGCAGCACAGCAGGGCAAATGGGTCAAATTCTCTCTGCTGCTCCGAGCCTGGCTTCCGCATGCACGGCATGCAAGGTGCTCTGGGAGTTGGGAGTGAATGAACGCTAACTACACTTGTTCTCAGCTGGATTCCAGCTGCAGGTTCCCAACAAGCCTCGTGAAGCAGTCCCCATTGCCGCCGAGGCACGCCTGGGAACACGGATGAGACGCTGGAAGGAGTCTGCCTTAATTTGCGCTGATCTCTAAGAAAGTGACATTTTATCATGAGCCCCTCGTGTATCCAGGAGCTTCAGGACCTGGCACAGGAGCCGAACTTTCCCAGTCCTACTTCCCAGTGCAGGGCTCTCAGCCAGGGCAGCTTTGTCCCTCCTCCAGCCTTCCCTCTGCCTGTTCCTAAGAAGCTGCCAGGCAGGAATAAGCAGATTACAGAGCTGGCTTTTAAAAGACCACGATTGCTCTTGTTTTCCAGGGAAGTGTGAACAACAAAATTATTTTTTTTCTCTCCCAGGGTTCACAGAACTTAATTCACTGTTAAATGGGTGTCATTTGGGATGTGCAAAGACTATTTCTCTATTCTCCAAGGTGTGTGTATCCATGTCTTCTGGGGTCAGCTGTGCAGACATCTGGCTGGGGGTGCTCAGTACCCCCAAAAGGGGGTGAGAGAAGGGTGCTGGGCACATTGGGGCCTGCATGGCCTATTCATTGAGACTTACTTGGAAATACAAATGGGTGAGTGTCTGCATGGCCAGGGAAGGGATTCCAGAGTTGGTCTGGGTGAGGGATGGGGGTAGAGAAAGTCCATCTTTTAAGGCATCTACACCCCTACCCTCAGGCTCTGAGTGACTCCCACCATCACTGGCTAGATAACCTCAGCTCTCAAGAACCTCCTGGAGATATGGTCCACTCAGATACCCAGTGTTCATATCTACCCATCTCCAAAATAGGCTACAGAGAGCGGGGTTCACAGGCCCCAGCACTTTCCAAGGCAAGGTGTCCCCAACCTGCCAGGGACAGGCTAAGTGAAGATACCCAGAGAACACTGATTATCCTCAAAGGGAGGGAGTAGACTGAGCTGTGTGTCTATGAGGGCAACATCAGTAGGACCAGAGCAGCTGGGACAGCCAGGGCCCAGTTGGAGAGTGTCTGTTCAGACAGCCAGTGCTCTAGTTGTATCTAGATGGGGCTTCCTAAGGGTAAGTATGAGCAGGCCTAAGGTCCCTGCCACCTTCCCAGGGTAGGGGGATGGGTGTGTGTCATCTAAAAGCAGCCACAGCAAGGGGCCCTGGAATGTGATGAACTTGCTGGAAGGATGGAAGGGCAGGAATGAGGAGAAGGAGGAGACAGGACCTCATCTATCAGGCCTGTAAAGTAGCACCTCCAGGGCAGGAGATGTACAATGTACCAAGGAGGTGTGACCCAGCACAGGCAGGACAACCTCCCCACTTACACCTGCTGCCAAGCTTCTGAAAACCACTGTACAGGACAATGGCTGGGAAATAAAGCCTCCCGATGCTTAGGTATTTGCCATAGCAATGAAGGATGAATTAACAGAGGTGGAGCACCTCCAGGAAGGAAGGAGCCATATTCTGAGACTATTACAAGGAAAACAAATAGGGAAATACTCACGAGCAAACCCCCAGTGGTCACTACAACATCTGCACAGCCAAACCCCCAGTGGTCACTACAACATCTGCACAGCCAACTCCTTTCTCTCGCAAGGGTGAAAGGCTAGGCTCCAGGCCAAGTGGCCTGGTCCTCGGTAGCAGGGTGCTAGCTGGGCTCTGACTGTTGGTCTCTCCCCACCTGGTCCCCCATTAGTACAGAAGAACCAGCAAATGTACCCTCGGGGGCTCACATGAGAGTCCATAAGGCACGGCACAAAGCTGGGCTTTGCTCCGAACAATGGCCCTTCCTGGCACTGCCTGCCTCATGGAATCCCATCACTGCAGGCGCAGCTTAGAGTGTGTGTCAGTGAAGTCCCTTCCTGCAGGCACAGGCAGCTGACACAGCCAGTCCTGGAGTCCACCTGCCACCTTCCCCCAGAAGCCAGGCCCCAAACAGCAGGGCTGCGTTTGTGCTGGAGGGGCAGTTCCTCGCTTGACCCACCTCTCCGCAGTGCTCCCCTCTGGGAACCTTAAGACCCAGGAAGCCTTGCTCCTCACCGGCTCCCCTGTTGCCTATCTCCACTCCCAGATATGGGTGTAGGTTCCTAGGGCCCTACTGTGTCATGTCCTCTGCCCTCCCTACCTAGCAGTGTGATCTCCCAGCCCTGCCCGGTCAACGAGCTGCTGTCCCCTCCCCACTGCCCACAAGTTTGCTTGTAGGGAGTTCATATTCCTCCACGACTCTCAACCCTACTACCCTCTCCTGTATGCCCATCTCTTGTGCCCCACGATCAAATGGCTCATCGGGGCCTCTCCTCAGCTGCTTCTTCGAGAGCCATCAAGGGCAAGGCCCAGGCCCAAGGCCCCAAAGAAGAGCAGTGAGGGAACAGATGGATGGCAGGTGATCAGGGAGTGGCCCTCAGCTGTCTTCCTTTGGACAGGTCCCAACTGCACTCTTTTCCCTAAGGGTCTGAGCAAGCAGAATTGCCCGCAACCCCAACCGTGCCCCTCCTTTTCCAGCCCAGCTGCCCCAACAAGTCCCAGGCTGGATGGCCTAGGACAGCAAGGTGGCTGCCTTCAGCAGCCTCTCTCCCCACTCCCAGTCTATCAGTTCCCTGACTGCCCTGATAGAGACTCGAGTCAGCGCAGGAACCCAGAGTGCCAGTGAGGTTAACACTGCCATCCATTCCCACCCCCACCCCACCCCACCAGACCATGGCTGGCTGGCAGTAGTGGCTTCCACCTGTAATCCCAGCCCTTTGGTGGCTGAAGAAGGAGGATTACAATGAATTCAAAGTCATCCTAAGCTACCGCCTGAGTTCCAGGCCAGCCTGGGCTACAACATGACAAGGTGTTTCAACAAAACAAAAAACTAAGCTAAAACAAAATTCAAAAATAAATCCTAATGGGATGCTTTTGGCTTAGCTTGAGCTAGGTGGGAGGTTCAGGGGTTGATGGGTGGTAGAACTTTCTAGTCATCTCTCTTCCAGATCCTCCCTCCACCAGGACAGGACCAGCAAGCAACACCGTGTAGAGGAAAAAGATTTCCTAGGGAGGTCTTAGCGTTGGGGAGAGACCTCAGTTCTGTGAAGCCCTGAACAGCTTGGGTTGATACCAGGGACCCAAGTCTGGTTTTAGAGTCGTTCCAAAGGATATCTCCAATCAGCCCCCACAGCCAACAGGACTTAGACAGTCTCAAATGTTCCCAGGGACATTTAGGCAGTTGGAATCAAGCAAAAGAACAAATTGGGGTCAGAGGGGAGGGAGTTCTGGGTTGCCTGGCTCTGGGTGGAGCCCCTCTTGCAGGATCATCAGTATTTCGAGTCATAGAGTGTCAGTGACCAAGGCATCTTAGACAGTATCCGGGGAAAGAGGTCCAAAGACCAGCCTGGGGTCACATAGCATCGCTGCTCACTGCAACTTCACAGGGCTTGTTTTCTCGGCATGACCTGAGTTACAGCAGCCTCTGCTGACCACTCCCCTTCTATCTTATAGATGGGGAAGAGAGATGGTCTCAGAGGAGTTGAGAGCCCTGCTCAAGGTCACACAGCCTCAAGAGAAGTCCCCGTAGTTTCCCACACAAGGCACTTTTCTCTTCCTATGCTGGATCGGGGTTCCCGGGGCAGGAGTACCCACTAAACACAGGGCACCAGAAAACACAGAAAAGTCTTGGGGGAGGGAGCATTAGAATTCTTACATGTAAATACTCTCGGGACACATTATGTAACTATGATTCCCCATCCCTCCATGGTCCCAGGGGTCTGACTGGGGCAGTAAGCAGCCACTTTGTCACCCACCCGGGTACCCTAGTCTGGGGGACCCGGTCCAGAAGCAGACTCTACTTGGCCCATCAGGCAGTCGGCGCTGCTCCTTCCAAGGAGAACAGTTGGAGGCGCCAGGATGCGCTGCACCCCCCCTTCCTTTCTTTTCCCTCTGGCTGGATAAGAAATACTAATACTAATAATGATAATAATAATTAGAATAAATAGAACCCGAAGACGCTGGGGTCTCGTTGCTATGACAACGGCTGGTGCTAATGAGCTTTTCGGAGGCTGCCGCCCGGCCACCCAACCCCAGGCGCGGGATTACTATCGATCCGGCCTTGGGAGGCGGCGGCTCAGCCTAGGGGGTCCCGGGTGTTGCCAAGCGGGGACCCCAAGCAGCCAAGAGGCTCCATAGCCCTGCCCCGCGCACTGGGAACCCAGCTGTCCACGCTCCGCGGCGACTCCCAGCCCGGCCCCGTTGCGCTCTGGGACGCTTGCCCGGATCCGGCGACCACCACCTCGCCCCTCCCCGGCGCCCCTGACGCCGTCCCGCCAGCGCCCCGCAGCCGCGCGTGAACCCCGCAGCTCCGCGCCCAGCTCACCTCGTGCCTGCGCCGGTCGCTCCTCGCTATGCAGCCGGGAGCTGGCGCCCGCTGGAGCCGCCTGCAGGGGCGCGGGGCTGCCCACGCGCGCCGCCGCAACAGTTGTCCGCCAGGCTGCGGGCGCGTGGGGCTCCGGGGCTCCGGCCGCGCTCCGCCCGCTGCGCCCCACGCGCGTCCCGCGCCGCGTTCAACCCGGCCGCCGCCGCGCCCTCTGCTGCCCTGCGCTGGCTTGGCCTGTGCTCCGCTCGCTGCCTCTCTCTGCCTCTCTCTCTGCCTCTCTCTCTCTCTCTCTGCCTCTCTCTCTCTCTCTCTCTCTCTCTCTCTCTCTCTCTCTCTCTCTCTCTCTCTCTCTCTCTCTCTCTCTCTCTCTCTCTCTCTGTCTCTCTGCCTCTCTCTCTCTTTCTCTTTCCCCCCTCTCTTTCTCTCTCCCCCCTCTCTTTCTCTCTCTCCCTCCCCTTTCTTTCCCCACCCCAGTCACTTCCCTTCTCCACCTTGCTCTCGCTCCGCCTTTGTTTTTTTCTCCATCTCTCTCTAGTTCTGGCTCTTTCTCCCCCCCCATTTCTTTTCTCTCTCATCCTTTCGCTTTCTTCCTAGCTTTCTACTTTTTCCTCTCCCCCTCCGTCTCCCCCTCCTCCTCTTCTCTTCCAGTTTCTTCTTTCTTCTCCCTTCCCCCTCCCCAACCTCCACCAGGGGGTTCCCCTCAATTCCCCTCATCTCCTCCTTCCCACCTGCTACCCAGCCTCATACCTGCTCGGAGAAAGACTCGTCACCAGCAATTGCCTGCAGGGAGGGAGGGATCCAGCCTCCTCTCCTTCCAGCACAGACCCCGGCCCCGTGCAGCCAATGGCTTTCTGCCCCACCCACTCTGTGCACATCTCCGGCCTCCGGCTGAGAGATCTTTCATGCCTGACACCCCTGAGCCAGGCAGGCAGGGGCAGACTTGGTTTGAGTTTCCTTGGGAGAGATCCCTGCTTCCCTAGCCTCCTAGATCTGGGTCTAAGCCCTCACCCCATGTCTCTCCCTAGAGCACCCCTAGTCTTGACTTCACCCCATTTCATCTCTGACTTGAAGGTCAAGGAGGTGCTGGGCTCCAGCCGCAAGCCTGTGGGCCTATATTTTCCCATTGCCTGGACAGCCTCAGAAAGCCTGGTGGGTGGCTCATGGGGACCCTGCACTGCTCTCAGGGGACAATCAGGACAGGGCAACTTTACTGTTCACTGAAGAATGAGAATACCCTTGAGCAGCTGGACAGACAGATCCACCTCTCCAGGTCCAAACTGCTGCCACCACATAGCCGGGTCACTTTTGAGGTTTTTAAAAATTTATTTACTTTTATGTGAGTTGGTGTTTTGACTGCAGTAAGTCTGTGTGAGAGTGTCGTATCGTATCTTGGAATTACAGTTGTTAGCTGCCATGTGGGTGCTAGCATTTGAACCTGGGTCTTGTGGGAAAGCAGTCAGTACCCCGAACCGCTGAGCTATCTTTCCAGCCCCCCCTTCGATTTTTGAGACCTCAGTGGAACCTCAAGGAAAACAGGATTGAGTGCTTCCTACCTTGAACTGACTCCTTGCCACAGCACTGAGTGGTTCCTTTCCACTCTACAGACAGACAGACAGGCTCAGAGAGGTTTGAATAGTACCTCAGAACCACACATCTGACAAGGGGTAGAACAAAGGCCCAAAGCCAAGCCCAAGGGCCTCATACTCCTCTCCAGGAGCACACATGGACATGGATGGACCCTTCCAGAACAGACCCTCCCCCTTCACTGTAGGACCAGACTGAACTTTGTGCAGGCTCTAGAAAGAGCTCCATGGTATGCTGGAACCTGCCCGGAACTTCTGCTGCTTTTGAGGCTAAGGAGGCTCCAAGAGGTGTCAGATGGAAGGGACCAGTACGGTCTCTCACTCAAGCCTGTGTCCATGAAGGCCTTGGCCTCCATCTGTCACAGCATCCATGCCCAGGTTCCTTTCATGGATATAGGCCGGACTGACTCACTGAGCTATCTGAGACCAGGGCTGCCCATGGGAACGGCTTTAGCACCGAAGCTAGGCGAGGCCAGGCTCTGAGAGAGCCTGGGGGGCAAAGTCTGCTTGGTAACTGGGAGGAGGGGATGGGGGGCACAGAAGGGAGGGGCTCCCCAGCACTCAGCGTTCTGGACACAAACCGAAGCAACTGTGTGTTCTTTCTTGGCCACATGGCTTTTGGCTGACACAAACCTCTCCTTCCAAAGAGGAAGTTGAGGAAGACTCTACTTCAGCTGAGGTCAAAGATGGCAGGAGGCCCCTCTGATGGCTCTGACCATTCCATATCAGCATGGGACCAGAGGGATGGAGGCAGCTGCAGGTCCTCTTAGGAGCAGGGCTAGGTAAGGCTAGGGATCTCTGGCTCCATTGAGACTCTGACCTCAAGCTCTCAGAAGTGGAGGCTGTGACCAGAGACACTCTCATGTGGACCTCGAAGGAGCAGTGCATGCTGGGGGGAGCAGGGCGTAACATGTGATACATTGTGCGGGATGCCTGTGGGTGATATCTGATATACGTGTGTAGGTGTGAGTACTGTGCAGTACATATTGTATGTGTTGTGACACTGTTATGTTTGTGTGTGTCATTTGCATGTGTGTTATATGATATGGTATGGGGTGTTTGTACATACGGTGTGATGGGGCATTAGGTGTCGTGGGATGTGTGTATGGTGTATGTGGTGTGTGCAGGGAGTTGGATGTGGCATGTTTTTTATGTGTACATGTGTGGTGTGTGTTGGATGAGGTGAGTGTGCCATGGTGTAGATGGTATCTGGGGGATGTGTCAACAGATATTTGGACACAAGGGGTGGGTGGGATGAATGGGCAGCTCACTTTGCTCCCATATGTCCCCCAGGCAAGGCATGCCTGCGTGTGTCCCACATGTGGAGCAGGCTGTCTTGGGTGAGAGGGGTCTGGGTACAGTGCAATCTGGGTGGAGGTGTCCTCTTCGTCCCTCCAACGTTGATGCAGAGCAGGCTCATATTGCAATGGGTGTAGGCACCCGAAGACGTGTGGGGCTCACTGCCGTGAACCTCACAAGTTGCTAACGACAGCTGAAGTCTGGCCCCTGGCCAGGCCAATTCCACAGACACAGCCCCAGGCCCCTGTCTTCACCCCTTGACCACTTCCTCTGCAGCCAGCCTGTGCCAGCCACAGTGAGGCCAGCGTGGGCGCATGAGGTCCCTCACACCCTACACATGTACTTCTTCCACGTGTTCAGGGCCCGAGTCTGCACTATGCCCCCATTACACAGGTGCCCCCACCTTGAACAAAATCCCTTAGCCCCCTGAGCTTCAGTTTCCTCATCTGTGAAGTAGAATGACGGCCAGGACCAGTGGGAAGATTTAATGACAGACCACATCACCTCAGCCCTGTTAGCCCAACCAGCTAGCTCTGGCTTGGTAGGTCCTGCCACGGCCCTCTTGTCCTTTAGAGAGAAGGAGGCTTTGTCCTTTGTCTGTCCCCACTCCATTTCGCTGTCCCTTCCGCATCCCAGAGCCCTATGGTTGCTATAGCAATGACCACACACGAGGCAGCTTAACATGTCACACAACTATTCCATTCCCTACAGTTCTGAAGCCTAAGTCAACAGTTCTGCTGGCCCTGGACCAAGGTGTGTCTGAGGGGCCGTGTTTCCCTGGGGGCTCCTTCCGGCATCTTCAGTCCAGGCGACCCCAGCCTCCCTTTCACTTGTGGCTGTGTTGCTTCAGCCTGCACCAGGGGCTACCCCAACTATCCCTGTCAACCTCCTATCTGAGTATCTTCACCTCAACCCCACACAAACCTAGTTCCTCTTTTCTCCTTTCTTTTCTTTTAGAGAGGCTCTCAAGCAGCCAGGGGTGACCTCAAACTTCCCGACCCTCCTGTCTTCACTTCCCCAAGGGCTAGCGTTATAGGCATGCACCACCACGCACGATTTATGTGTTGCCGGGGATGGAATCTAAATGAGTATGCTAGGCACACACTCTACCAACTGGGCCACACTCCAGCCTCCATTTTCTTCTTTGTATTTCATTGTATTGACGTGTCCTGTGTGTGCGTGCACACGCGTGTGTGTGCGCACACACTCGTGTGCCATAGTGCACATGTGGGAGTCAGAGCACAGCTTTTGGGAGTCTGTTCTCTCCTTCTACTACATGGCTCCCAGGGGTTAAACTCAGGGCTGTTTGGCTTGGAAGGTAGGAAGGCCTCCACCCACTGAGCCATCTTGCCAGCCCCCGAGGGACCTACCACAGACTCGGGAATGGGGCTGAGGGGCCAAAGGTGAAGGTGGGTGTTTCCCAGCCTCCTTCCCTTTTGCATCTGTGGAGCAGGGAGCAGCAGGAAGGACCCGGAGAGGCAGGCGGCTCACTGGTCATCTATGGAACCATCAATACATCTGTGCTGAGTCCCCTCCTCCACCCAGAGCAGAGCTGGGAGGTGGGTTTGGTTTCTTCAGAGCAGATCAGGCAGCTGCTCTCAGCCCATTTCAGCACCTGCAGTAGGGAGCCCTGCTGTGCACCCCAGCACCACCCTCACCCCCCAGCCTTATTTACTATGTCTCAGCCTTCGGGAGGCTTGCTCCCCCGCAAAAGCAACTGCTCACCGGGCAGGCAGGCAGGCGGCAGGCAGGCGACCGGCAGGCAGGCAGGCGGGCCGGCCTGGCGATGACTCATGCTCTCTCTCCGCGGAGTGCAGCCTTTTCAAAGGGCTGGCTGGGGAGGAAGCTAAATTTAAAGCCAGGCTTCCCGAGAAGATCACCTGCCACGTCAAAATCGCTGCCATTTAATTAGAAGTTGGGGGCATAAGGCTTTCCACCCTGCTCTCTCTGGAATCCTCCTGGGGAAGGCTGAGGGGGAGGCGCAGCCCCAGGGGGTAAGAGCCAGCTGACTTCCCAGCTGTGACACGTCCCTCCCTGACTTCCTTTAGGGAGTGGCCCCCACCTTCCAAGGACCATCAGTCTCTTCCTTCCTCGTCTTCAAGCTTTTGGGGTTCTAACCCTGGGCCCCAGTTCCCCAGTGTACAATACATGCAGAGGTCCCTGTTCCCCCAAGTAAGGAAAAAGCATCACCAGGCCTCAGCTCGTCTTCAAACCCATGATGGACCACCAGACTTTCCAATCCTTGCTTCTCTACAAAAGAT